TTGCTATCTGTCCAAGCTCCTTGGATTTTGTTTCATCACATCACTGACAGGAGACCAAGGGACAATTGACTGAGGGTTCTAAGTCCAAGCAAGGCCAGCGCAGCTGTTTTAAAAGGATCATCTGATCTTGCACAAGGTATTCACCAGTGTAGTTAGTGTGGTTGGTGAATTGTAGCCCTGGTCCATATGATCAAGCTATTCTATATCTGCAAAACTAAACAAGCGAGAGAAGCATAGAAATACTCGCAGACTGAAAGCTCAGAGGCGAGATACAGCCAAGATATGAAGTTTGTCGCACTTTCGATCAAAGCACATTTGGTTTGAGCATGAAATATAAGTGTTTTAAGCATCGTGAGGACGCTCGTGAGCGTCAAGTCCAGAGACGCAGTCCACGGCTTACAAATTGGGATCAATTTAGTACTAAGCAACATTCATGTTGCGCATGCGATAGAAAGGGCCCAGAAATGGCATCAGTGGACTAGATTGTGAGTTGTTTCATTTTTCTAGGACAACTGTCTGTAATAATTTGTTACAAGAGTGTTACACAAGCTCAATTGTGTGTCTCCACCGATTACTCTCTCCTTCCCTCGCAGAGATTGTATTCAACACTTACGATTGCTCCTGGTATCATAGACCTTGGCATCTTAAAAGTATAGTTCCAGCTCGGATTCGTTACACATTGCAGCCAGATAATCAAAACACCTCCTTGACTGAGCTTTGAAAATTTTGTGATCTACGAATCTCCACTTTGCCAAGTCGTTTGTGAGAGTTCACCAGTTCCTGCCGCAGATTTTGTTTCAATGCTTTCAGCCTTCGAATCTCCTCTCGTTGTTGCTGGCACAAAGATCTGCGAACTCAGCTTGTGTCCTCGCAACACCTCCAAATTCTTCGACCCAATGTTCCAACGTCACATCTCATTAGGCTACTTCCACGGGGCATCTTGCACCTGAGCCACCTTATGCACGACACAGATAATCTCCACGTAAACTTGCTGCGACGGTTCTCAGTCGGAAAAATATATTGGAGCGTATTCGCAGATTTATTGGTGAAATGCAAATGGTAAAGGCCAAGGGAGATTCTAAAGGTTGGATTGCTCGTGTGTTGAAGGGACAAATCTTTTCCAAAATAGATTGTGCTAGTTTGTCAATTGCTCAACAAGCTGCTAGGTTGTCGATAATGTACATGCTTGGATGCAATCCAATTGGTCTATCATTCCATCATTTTTGGATTATCAATTCAGTTGTAATCATTGTATCTCGCAGCTAAATTGTTAGCGTATGGATTTGCAGTGAATTTGTTTCTGGATGTACGTACTGCCTCCGTTTCTCCTTGCATTCGTTGGACAAGCTCATTTTAAAGCGGAAAAAAGAAGAATGAATGAAAAAATTTCCTCCCGGTGATCGTAATTAACCTCAACTTGTAACGATTTGCAAGTTTTTTACAGATCTGTTGGAAATCATGTCCAAAAGTTACATCAAACTTTGAGACATAACATCATCATCGCCAAACATATTATGACAATCACACTTTTTCGTTATAAATTTAGGGTGGTTTTCTCCTGAAATTTGGACTCTATTTTTGGACCCCAACTTTCATCTTTGAAGGATTGAAATTCAGTACTTGCTGGTGCATGTAAACTGCTTGTCTGACCTCCCAAAACTTGATTCATGTAATAATAATAATTATTATTACATGAATACATTATTATTAATAATGTAAACGCGTTATAACAAAGGTAAGAGGTTTCGCCCAAAAGTTATAAATTTAGAGTGTTTTTTCCGAGAGATGGGAGGAAGTGAACAGAATGATCCATAATTCAGTGCCAGTTATGCTTTTTCATTAATGACGTACAGTCAAAATACGAAGAGTATGCGAATTCATCTATTCATCATTCTCAAAAGAATTACTTACACTGGGTTTAAAAAAGCATGTATTTTTGCTGATTGAATAATCTTCTTCACAAATGAAAAATATGTGAGATGTCTCTTGAAGTTCCCACTTTCCAAGTTTAAACATCCGGAAATCTCTTAATGCTTTGAATTGCAATTGAGGTTGAGTCAAATTGCTCTAACATTTTTATACAGCAATCATCTTATGCTATTTGAACTTGTGATTCAAGAATCAAACATGTGCAAAATAATGATTATAATCTTAGAACTAATCACACGTCTCTTTATACATTCGAGCTGGAATTTTCTCCTACAAATATCTCTTCCGTCCACTGAGGGACATCCAAAATAATAACCGGTGACCACTTTGAATTTGCAACGAATGACTCTTTCACTTGTTGCAACCTTCCAAAAAATTTCCGGCGCAGATGATGAATAGTCTTCATAGATATTGGACCTATTCGTCTGTAGATCACATTTACTCATGTATATTTATCGAGTACTCTAGTTCAGCGTCGTTAGGCAGTCATGTAATCGTTGAATATATTTTAATTTGCGTTTTGATTCTTTTGTTTTTCTAAATCTTTTACAACTTATGGAAAACGAAATATTATCATATAAAACGCGAATTTTTTTTCTTTTATTAATTTCGTATATGGCAGTTAATAAAAGAATCAGACTCCGCGATATAGCTTTCAACGCACAAGATAGTTACATCTGTTAGATGTGTTAGATTGTTTCAACTCTCTAAAGGGGTATTGGTTCTTAGTCATCTTATGCATGACATGATGAATCTCCACGTATACTTCTTGCAAAAAATTTCAACCCAGCACATGTAGGATCGCAAGTTCATCTAGTTCTAAAGATAATAAATGCGGTAGTATAAGAAAATAAGAATATAATAAAATAAATCATTCAAAAGAAGATACGCAAATTTTGAAAATGAATAATGGCTAGAATCATTAAATATAAATATAAATATATATATATATATATATTCAAGAAAATATTTTCACACCTTCACCATCTATGTTATTTTTAGTGAATTGATAATACTAAAATTATTCATAACAAGCATACGACTTGTTGAAATGTCGTTTTTAATTAAAATATTTAATCTTTACATAAGATGATTTTTTTTGCTAAAAGATTTTATCACAAAGCTAAGGTTCGAACTCATGAGTTAATTAGGAATCATTTGACTTTTTGCAAATCTCCTCTATTAACCACAAAGGAGTAATAGCTAAACGTTCCTCATAAACAGTGAAAGAGAACACGAAAATTGTAATGATAATATTCACAAAGTACTGAACATTTTGGACTGCTCAGATGTCACATTTTAGAAATATTGCATGGGGAAAAATATCTTTTATCCTTCAGAAAAAGCTTAAATCTCACAAAAATTAATACAAAGTGTAAAATCATTTTTATGTTAAAAAAACTCAGTTCATGTTGCATGGGTCCTGTTTTTGAGTAAGAATCAAGCATTAGTTTTGAAAACAAGGTATTACATGTAATAAGATACGTATGAAACAACTTATGAAATACAGTAGATGTCTGCACTACACAACTTGTACATTTATCATCTCATGTAAAATAGATTTTCCAAGATTGATTTGCTAAGATTGTATTCATGATTCAATCGAAACTATACCATATGGCTCCGATCGGGTCGAGTTTTACGTTCAACCCGAACAACCGAGTCAAATTCGGGTATAACCCGGATCCATGATCGTAAGAGAGGGAGAATCGGGAAATTGGATCTGCATTTCGAGAGGCAGGACGAGCAACATAGGTAGCGCGGCCCAGCTAGACGCAGAAGCTAGCGAGCAAGGGAGCCGGTGCGCAGCAGGCGATACGAGGAGGAGGAGTGCCAGACACAAGAGGAGGAGCAGAGTTTCGCGAGACCGAGCGGAAGCCGTCGCACCTGCAGATGATCTCTTATCGTTCGTTGCTTTTGATTTTCAGGTCGGGTACAGCCCTCGACCCGAAACACCCGGTTCGGATTTTGCCCGAACCGGATCTTAGCCCTACTATACAACATGTATGTTGTTCAAAGTCAAATAAAGACAAGGTATGAAGGAAATAAAAATACTACTGCATATTGTTTCACAAAAATATATTGTAATTAAAACCTTTAATACATAAAAATTTTAAACTTCATGTTTTTCCTTTCTTCATTCGATGATGTAATCCTCGCCAAAAAGAACGAAACCAAAATTTCCGCGAAGATTAGTACCTTGGGTGCTTCATGATGGCTTCATTTATCCTTCTGAAAAGAAAATTCGGTCTAAAAATTCTGCAAGACGAGAGTGAACTCATACCCGATTTTTGTTTTTTTTTAATAAACACACTCCACTGGCCTACAAATCCTCCACGTCGGATCCTCGTGTACCTTCGAGCGCGGATAATTCGACATTCTAAAAGCCAAGGGGGAGTACGTTTGCGTACGTTAAAGTGCTCGTTCAGCACGTCACGACCAACCTTTCGACGCACCGAGAAAAAGTGTTTGAGAAAATGAAATCATCGTAAAATTCTGCGATTTTTGACGGCAGTCGAATCTGGGGAACCCATCGACAAAATGGGTGTTTCAGATTTGGCTCGATACCAAATCGTTCCTGAAAGAGGGAATAAAAAGGGTGAGGGCGTATGAACCATGCTGAAATGAAGAAGAGAAGAACGGCCCTCGATGCGGAAGACAAGCCTTGCTCGATCGAGAGCAGGGAGAGAGAAGAGCACCACCCCGTCCCTCTTGCTGCTGTTCATGCACCTTCCAACGAACGAATAGCCGTATGAACGTGGTGTGAACGAATGACCGAGGAAATCTGCGGGAGCGAAAGATTCGAGGTCGCATTTTGCACCTGCTTCGACACATGCGCGTGGTTCGTAGTTCGACCCGTTGGATCCCCATTCGCTCGGTAGCGGAACGGGGATTCGAGTGAGAGGTTGGGGCAAAAAGTGGGGAGAATCCGTGTTGTGTAGCCCCGGGACCCGTCTATTTCAGCGGCGGGCGTCGAATTGACTGCATGGGCGTACGAAAGCTCCAATCCGACACATGCCTTGAGAAAAGAAGGAAAATTGGCTGCAGCGTGCGCGGATCCCATGTTTGCAAGCGGCGTTCACTCGTCCACGACGAAATCATCGCCTGGCGCAGCCTCGGGAGGGAAGATTGCTTTGTCCATTCCTCGAAGGGCCCAGACACCTTCTTGTCTTAAGTCATATCTTCTCGGAGGTTTATGGTAACCGTAGAGTTCGACGGTGAAAAACCACTTGCCCTCAAAAAGCGGGCTTTCATCAATAGGGTTCAATCTGATCAAAAAATCGCCATCTTGAGGCTCGTAATGCGGGTCCCACCAGAAGCATTGGTAGACAGTTCTATTTGGCTGCCGAATCGGCAGTAGCAAGGGCTGACCAAATGCTCCCGGAAGCTCGACGAAGGTCCGCCCGCCTTGGTTGAAGATTCCCCTCTGTTGCAGGGAGAACATGGCGAGATGGTCCTGGGTGATAATGCCCTTGTTCAATATGATGTCGTCCGCTCCGGGTACAAGTGGAGGATCTTCCGGAAGATTCAGCGACGGGTCATTGCCCCTTTCCTCCTGGAGTGCTTCAATAACCTCGGCATAGTGCTCTAAATCCTCTGGTTCTGGCCAATCTCCTCTCATAGCCTCCTCAGGTTCCTCGGGCTCAACCTCGGAAATCCTATAGAGATTTGCATCGATCCATCCGTCTCTCGTCATCTCGTCGTGGATGATGAGTTTCGGCGCTACCGTGCACCAGCAAGCATACGGGTTCCCGGGGTTTTGGAGGTTTAGGGGTGACCATGCAGTTGTTGAAATCACGAGTTGCGTCGTGGCTCGGGACTCTCGGCTCATGAAGCAGCCGAATTGAAGCACCATCGATCCGGGAAGGTCTTGAGGCGGGTGCTCCCAGTTTTCGTCGCTGCGATAGAACATGATATGACCCGTAGAGCGCCCCAAAAATTCCGGGTAGTACTGATCCAGGCTCTCCTCCAGGTTGATGATAAGGCAACCAGGCAGCAAAGGGCATTTACTGTATTTTTGGAGCGCAGTACTAGGCGCGTCCAAAGACAAATCCCTGAAGATCCTATGGGCCAATCCCAGTGACCTAAAGTGATACTCATATCCGGTATCCCCCACACACAAGAATCCGTAAACATACATGGGAACGAAGTGATCGGTCATTCGGTTCCGGATCTCAGACCGCATATCGATTGGTAGTTCAAACAAGGCGGCATGAAGTTCTACGGGTGTTGGATTGGTCATGCGTATCCGTAGCACCACATCGCCACTGCCCCCCATGAGCGAAGAAGTTCTAGGCACAATGTTCATCGTACGCTCGTCCTCCTGTCGGACGACTTTCAGCTCATAGCTCGTGCCCCACGGACGATCGGGAGCAACGGCGGCTGTTTCGCGGATGATGAAGTCACCCGCAGCCAATAAGAAATGTCTGTTGAGAACAAGATTATGGTGATAATAACTCGTCATGTTATTCTTCTCCGTGGGATTTGACTCCGATTGGGCTACCATGTGCCACACTCCGGGCGCACCCGGAATAGTATGGTGGTAGAGGTGGAGGGTAGCCGTCTGCAAGGGTTTCCAGGTATACATACTGGTCGTGAACTCCATGTGGCGCAGGATGCGATCCCCGTTCCAGAAGGTGAATCGCATGATGCGCTGCTCTCCATCCGCGTACATGAAGTAGTAGTCGTCTCCGTAAATGTGCAGGATTCCCATGACGCTGAGGATCTCATTCCTTGGATTGAACACGTCGAAGTCGTGGGCAGTAAGTATGTGCGGAGTTTTCCGCAAGATAACGTCCCCGGGCCGAGGTTTGAATTCCTCCGGCTCCGGTTCTGGCTCCGGCTCCGGATTTTGTTTACTTTTTTCCCTTTCGATTTTTTCTTTTTTCCTTTCTCTCTTTCCTTTTCTCTTCCTTTTCCCTTTCCCCTGCTCTGGCACCGAAGGGCCAGCAGCTTGAAAGCCCATCATGGTCGACATTATCGAATCGATTCACCTAAACTCGATTTGCGAACTTCGTATCTACCATCATCTGAGATCCTGTTTTTCCGATCTCTATTTCCTATGTAATCATTACCGCGAATCCTCCTTCAATCCCGTCCCAGCCCGAGCTTGCAGTTCAATTACCCGAACACAATTCGAGGCCCTAGCCATCCGAAAAGTATCATCAACACGATCTCTGCTTAAATTTGCTTCTCGGAGTTCGTTCGTTCCGCCTATTTCTGAATCTGGAAGTGCGCGATGGCTGAAAGTTTTCGCCTATTCTTATGAACGAACGGATTAATCTGTTCGAGAAACCTCGTGCAAATGAGCTCTAGTGTCAAAGGGAAAGCAGCGTGGTGTTTATCGAGACGAACCAATCGAGTGAATTACACATTTCATCCCTTCAGATGACATCCGTGCCAGGATTCTCTCGAGGCCGAGGTGTCAAATCTCGAACCTGCATTCAAACCCAATTTCTTAAGTTGTATCTTGAGGTGTTTAGAGTTCCTTTGAGCCGTTTGCACCTTTTTCGTTGGAAGCTCAACGTCGGGAGGAATTTATAGATTCCTAAGCTCTTCTGGCAGAAATAACAAAACTGCCTGAACTTCTAGGAAATGCCTTTCAAGCTCTCGATCCTACCGATCGACGGGGTGAGTGTAAGGTACAGTAACTACAAAACTGGCGCGTGACGCACGAAATCGATCTGCGCAGCGCTTTCAAAGCCCTGCGGACCGATCTCTCACGAACTCAATTCTTCGAACATCAGCTCTTTGAACCCGGATTCTCCACTCTCTATCTATTCCCATGTCCCTTGGCTCTGAACCGACGCATCACTTGGAGAAAACATGAATCGAAGCACATCGCTGCAACACAGTCAAAGGTATGTCTGATCCGACAGGACTACGTTGGGATGTTGGGGATTCGGTCGTCCCAAGCACACAACCTTCTGCAACCAATTGTACAGTACTTGTGGAGATGTCATCTCGACATTCCACGTCTGACGCTGCCAAAAATCAGGCGATCTTCAGCAGATGTCGTCACAGTCGTACATCTGAGTACGGAGCACAGTACGCTCTTTGACATCGTCAAACGGGAGACAGTAAAGTGAGCTACAGATTGGAAAGTGACCAGGAAGCTCTGCTGTGCTGCAGATGTGAGATCGATCAGTCCGACGTCATTCCAGAAGCATTGGCTTCAGAATGAAGTAACGTTCAGTTACAATCTTGAGATTTCTGTTTGATTTTCTTAATAAAGCTTGCATTTCTAAAATTCCGTACAAGTTGCAAGTGACGATTAACGTTTATGTTTATCTAATGCTTCATTAAATACATTGCCTGTAAGGAGTCAAAGGCATGTGACGAGTCCACATACGTAAAAAGCATTTGTGTTGACAAATATGTACTTGGAAGAATGAATGGTTGAGCATGGCACCAGTAATTATACTTCTCTAATAATAATCAGTCTGATGTCTATTGTATATTTCTGCGCTACTGCAGTTCATAAACACTTAACTAATGTGATTGCTCCCCTCACTTTAAATGACCAACTATCTTCAACAATTTTGTGAAATCACCAGAGTGATTGCGTGCCTGAAGTCAGTGTCAAAGATACTTATACAGTATTTCATGCTTGATAGTCCATTTCCCTATATGAGTGATAGAGTGAATATAATTTGATTAAAGAAGCTGTAACTCAACATACAATGGCTATCTAGTTGATATTTCAAGACATCTATTGGTATTTTTTTCTCGTAGACAGATGTAACAAGCCGTAAAAAGTAAATAATCTTATATCTTGAACTAGTCATAGATAAAATTAAGCATATGTGTAGCTCTCTTCTACTTCTCAACTTGTCCTAAAATCATATGAGATTGTAATCAAGCCAGATTCGAAGTATCATGTGGCCTAGATATATCTAATCTTACATTATTTCTTACACAGAATCTTTGAAGTCTAACATACTCCTTATGTCCAACATGCCTACTGTACTATAAGATAGACTTCTTTGTGGAAGTAAATGAAACAACCGTACGCTAGGTGGTCCATTCTTTTATATGCCAATCTATTAAATGGTAACCAAAAAGCACGATTAGCTTTGTCATGGAGTGCACAAGAGGCCTATGAAGTAAACATGAGCTTGAAAGTATATTCAAAAAATGACTAGAATAAATGTAGAGTGTGAGGCTACTCATTCTCACAGTCCAATCAGTATATCCAACAATATCGATGTATTCTGCATAATATTCACCGTGAGAGATATTAATATGATTATTCTCCTCCTAGGAGCATCCGATAGTAACTGGGTCAATCTCTCTGTGTGTTTTTCAACTTGAACCTTTGCCTTTTGGAAAAAAAAAGAGTCCTTCACACACTGGAAAAGGTAAGAAGAAAAACGTAACCCGTCTATCTAATTCAAGTTAAATCATTGACCTTAAAATGTTTAAACTCACAAAAGATTTATGAATGAAATTTTATCATAAATTAAGTAATCAACGAAACCAAATTTGAAACATAAACATAATTACTTGTTCGCTCTCTACATCTGTTAATGTAGATTTATAATATTCATAAAGAGTCCAGTCACTCCCAAAATCACTCGCTATCACATGCGAGCAGCAAACCAACGCCAGACTGCCACCACTTTTTGAGAGTAAAGAGTCGGCAGTACAGTATCTAGAGCAAGTTCATGAAGGTAAGGACAACCAATGAAAACGACGGTAAGCTGGTAGAAAGAACGAAGTTTTTATTTCAAAATCTCGTAGAAGATTCACTGAAAGCCAAATCAATCAACCCTACAGATCAAAATCCATCTTAAATAGTAGAAGAGAGCTCTAGCCACTGCTCAGAGAGACAAGAATTGTCTACAGTTGAAATGGCGAAAGCCGAGGTACTCCTTAAGGATTTGAAGCGCCACTCATACATACTGTACCCCTTGTCAAACCTGCAAAATCCATAAAACGGCAGATCACTCCACTGGAAATGTATCTCCAGGCAGATCAATAGAACTTTTAGAAGAAAATGCAGTTCAGATAATTTACGACGGCTCTAGTCACTAGACTGTGAGACCCAAAATAATGGTAGGAAAATTGAGCGCTTGAGACCTTCCTAGTGATGACTGCAGTTTATGTGCCTGTTAAGGATTCAGAGTCGCCATGAGTAGATTCATATCCAGACCTGAGAAATAACATGTTAGAGATCGGACGCGGTAAACTACTTACCACGTTAACTGTGTGGCAGAAGTCGACTCCTGGAAGAGCCACGCGGTTTCAAGCTAGCACTCAGTCACAGTCGTCATTGACACGTGGACGGCCAGACCGATTCTCCATTCTCAAGGTCAAGATTCTCTCCTCCAGATTCAGATTCCACCGACAGCCCAAGTCAACTCCCGCTCTGGCGGGGCCGCGGGAGCTGACCTGGACTGGCCTTCCGTCCCCATTTCCCGAGCCGAAGCTGCCAACCACTCCTACGTGTGCCAGATGGCTCGGTGGAAACGCCGCCGAGCCATCTGGTAGCCGGGCTCTGTTGAATGGGCTTGGGAGACCGATTCTTCAGACCAGATCTCGACTTAAAGTCAAGGTCAAGCTGCCCAGCTGGATCGTGACTTGAAGCTTGCCACGTCACTCGGAGAGTATATAGCTGAGCTGCTCATTCACCTTCTCGACAGCTCCTGACGTCGGCTGATCAGATCAGAGATTCCGAGCACCATTCCTCCTGCTCAATTTTATTTCTTCCTCTAGTTTTGATCGAAATTAAAATTTGGTCCGGGCAAAAGATCTCGAGTATTGTAGACTAGATCCGCTGGACATGGGCCCGGTCAGGATGGCGAGATCTGCTCTGCTGCTGTTGTTGTGCGGGCTTGTTTTGTGCTGGCATGCGAATGGTCAGAACGATAAGTTCACGTACAAGTTCGATCTGGGGGGGATGGTGTGCACGAATCTCGCCTCGGGTGTAATTTGCAGCAACCCGCCTCCGTACGCGATGAACACGGCGGGATCCAGTGTCTCGCACCGCAATATCATCTCCTTCGATACGGACGGAAATTACGCTTTGGGCTTCGAGAAGGCTACTCTCGGATCCTGGTACCTCTCCATCTACAAGTACAACCCCAGTGACCAGTCCTCGGGGGCTTCCATTTGGAGGGCAAAAACCGTGGACGGAGTGGATGTCAAAGCGAACGAGAATTCCACTCTCGGATTCATTGAAAGTGGCAACTTGGAGCTCAGAAACGCGCAAGGATCTCTGGTGAGTCCCTCATATCTTTCATTTGCACGTAGTTTCAAAGGCAAGTTTTGGATTCGATCGACTATCTTCTTCGATTATCTTCTCTACCTTCAATGGCGGTTGCAGGGAATTGGTCCAGAACTCACATTTTACATCTCTCTCAGTGCCTGGAAAGTTTCATTTCATGCATAATTTCTCCACTCTTGCTGACGAATAATCTGCTCCGTTTCTACAGCTATGGACGCCAGGTACAAATGGTTTGGGGGTGACAGAGTTCGAGTTCAACGTGCAAAACGAGTTACAGTCAGTGGCTGGAAATATGATTCTCTACGACCAAAAGCACCGAATCGTCTGGCAAAGCATGATCGTTCAAGGAGGCAACAAGTTCACCTTGAATATGGTGAAACGGCCGGACTTGGTGTGCACCAATCTGCCCAGCGGTGTGCAATGTACCGATCCGCCTGCGTATCCCATGAATACAGCCACTGGCAGTGACTCCCGGCGCAACGTCATCTCGTTGGACAGCAATGGGCTCTACGCTCTCGGGTTCGAAAAGACCACTGGGGGCTTCTACCTGTCCATCTACAAATTCAATCCCAGCGATAACTCGGCTGGGCGATCCATCTGGACTGCAAGAACGAAGTCCGGTGAAAATGTGAAGGTTGATGAGAAAGGCACCGTCAGCTTTCTGCAGAAAGGCTCCATCGAGCTAAAGGACTCCAAGGGAAAACAGGTAAACATCAAACATGTGAAGTAATGCATGCATTTTTATGAATTATTCGTTTCGGTGGGATGCACGAGCTGGCTTTACCATGGACTGGACGGAAAATACGTCATGAAATTTCCACAACTAAAAGACTTGTCTGTATTTGATCGTTTCAAAGTAAAGGCAGAAGAATTTGAGTTTGTTCATTTCGTGTATATTTGTTATTTATATAAGCTCAAGAACTGACACGCAAGGTTGATCTGTGCAGCTCTGGACGACTGGAACCAAGGGATTTGGAGTTTCCAACCTGGAGTTCAACTTTGATATTGGTAATATGATTCTGTTAAACGACCAGAAAGCTAATGTCTGGCAGAGCAGGTACAATTGATGTGCTTTCAGGTGAAAATCAAAGTTTAGGTCCAAACCACATAATTTTTGGAGAAGGTCAGCTATGGTAGTTTGCAGATTGGCTGGCTGTGTTTCAGAATATTGCAATCACCATTGCAAACAGTTCGATGTGATGTACAATACACGGGTTTAGTCTGATTTTTTGCCAGAGAGACCACCATATGTGAATAAAGGAGGGACAAATGTTCGAAAGAATCACTTCATTCCAATCATGTGATTATTATATCATTTGCATGCATGCATGCAAACACACAGTCATTTCAGCTCATAGATTCTGGAGGAGACACAGGAATAAAGTGCACTCTCAATATGTATGACATGCAACTCTTCTGATATTTCTGACTGGAGAGTCAAACTTACGTTGAATGCGACTTCTGTGAACATAATGTAAAGGCGTCTTGATCTTTTCCATCAGGAGAAAGCCAGTACGATAGAAAGATCTAATGGGGATATTTGGGTCTATTGTATATTTCTAAACCCTTTAACACAAAATACTTCGTAAGTTGGTGCGAGGGAGCAGTAATCAGAAAGCATGCTAGCGCCGTCGCGAATAATTAATAGGGAAATTAGAAAGCATACTTGGTTAGATTTGTCGGATAAGAAAATGTGTTGAAACATTTCAAGAGATAGAGACAATCGACCTTCTGGTCAGTCCAGTGGACTCTTCGGAAGGCAAATTTTCACTTCATTTGCTGTGGAGATCCTGCCGCCGGGACGAGAGATTCATCCGAATTTCATCATGTCTGTCGCTACCGTCAAATATTGCCAGAAGGAGAGTGCGAAGTGATTAGAAGCCCAAGTGCAATTCACCCAACCAAAAAACTTGGGTGAGAGTGGTTGATTGATGAGCGAAAGCAATGCTCTTGGGCGGGAGTCGAGATTGTCCACGTGCAAGTCTTGAATTGTAATTGCGGGTTGATGATTCTTTGATTCTACTTATAAATGTCAATTCAAATGAAATCTTCGCTAAATTTCGTGAGATTTTACAGAAAATCTGCTACTTGCAAAGAAACTGTCGAATGCAGAATTGTTTCTGATTCTTCACTTAATTTGGAGGTTCGCTCGAATATAACATGAACCTTGGATCTCCGGAGTATCAGGACACAATTTCAGGGTCGGGGAGGAAGTTGACAATGATAACTGCACTTGTGTGACGTCATCCTTAGGCTTGGTCTCTCAGCAGGATTCGCTTTCTTAATAAGTTGAAACTGAGTTGGAGTGATTGTTCGAACACCCTTTATGCACGAAGGGTGTTCCGAATTTATCTGAATTGCACTTTTAAACTTGCACAAACATCCACACCTGTATAAATTAAAGAATATAGAGTACAGCTCGTGGATTACGTATCCCGTCCATCGAAGAGCCTCGTTCGGTTCATTGACACGAGTGCAGATAAAGAAGCTGAGAGGGAGTGAGCTGACAACTCCCAAGGATGTCAATAAACCCCATCACATCGTGTTGAAGGCTTTGGTTCTTGCCAATATTTTCTCCTATGTCCTCCTTTATAATACAAATGCTGTAGGAGTCAAAATCATCATGACGCTCCAGATTCCAGACATGCACGCACGTAATGAGACAACAACAGTACCTAAAAGCCTTCCTTTGCGACAAATATAGCGAGAACCATGTCCGTCTTACCGTCCAACCTTCACTAGCTTGGAGTGACCGAGCTTTCTCGATTGTCAAGGCGGTTCCTTTCTTCTCTCGCCCGGTTGATCCTCCTTTAACTCCAACTGCAAGATAGAGTTAGTACCAGAATTACAGCAACATAGCGAAAAGGATGGCCAGAATGACTATGGACACTTTGTTGTCCCGGTCAAAAATTGCTCTATCTGCACTCTTGGGCAAGCTGCCACGAGGCACATTTGCAGCGCAGAGTCTGAGACTTTGGACTCAGAACTTTCGGACTTGGAGTCTTGACCGGAGCACCTTTGCGTGAAGTCTAGGCCAAAACAGCTTCCAGAGTTCAAGTTGTTGCACCGCCAAAGTTCCATTGTTGACTTCGAGTCGTTGATAATACTATCTCTTCCAAAGTTCATTCATACTAATTCATTCCCCATGGCCAGTCATTTGCCAAATCTGTCATAAATCATTCTATTAATATGGCATCATTATAATTTTATTTATGATAAATGTGATCACAATTTTAAATAGCTTGAAATTCTTTGAATTGCTTACAATGCATGATACACTCGAGTGACAAATCCATTAAGTAGTATCTGGATTGGTCTTTCTTCCAAATAACCACAGAAAAATCACTCTCTAGTCATACTAGTATATACACTAGCAAATCCTCCAACAAAGTTGCACAGTGTGGAAATTTGATATTACAAAGTACTCCATGCTTCATGAAAATTCAAAGATTCAGGAATTTGGTCTATTCTTTCACGGAGTAAATCTTCTCTTTGATAAAATTCTGGAGTTAGTTGTGTTCTTGTTTCAAGGTGTCAATGTAATTATTGCTGAATTTCTTTTCAAGTTGAAATCAAAATCTAATTATCATGTCCACAAAACTTGATGCAAGCGTGGTCGCGAACTCGCAAGAAAGACATGGGAGATAAAAACAATGCCAATGCATTGATACTATACCTTTTTAGCTCGATCTCATGAATTCCTGCTGCAACACTAACAGAACAAAACACAACATACTTCTCAGTTTGATACAAGCTATCAAATGACATCGCAATAAACACATCACATCCTTGAACAAAGTGCACAACAGTGTTCTTGGTAATCTTGTAAAAACTGTTACATTACCAGATGTCTTGATTTTGTTTCTAAAATAGCAATTCAGAAAGTGTATCTTGCATTCTTGTCATGTCCCAAAGACAGGAAATGAATCTAGAAAAGTTGACTTCCTGTTATATTACTAGCAATGTAAAATGCTGCAAGATTTTGAATAGAATGTCAATGTTTGTAATTATTAGTATCAATGAAAATAAAGTTATTTATCACATGACATTCGGTTTGAGATCAGTATTCTTTTAGTTTATGCATTCAACAATACAACAACAATGAGTTGAAAACCAAAACAGTATTTTCTCCAACAATAATCAGCGAGTCATAGCAACCTTTGGACATTTACATTGCCTATTGTTAATCAAGTTCTGTTGTCAACGCAGGTATCTGATGATGACAGACGTCAAATAAAATTCTTTATTGAGATATACAAAAATAATAGCTTTAACAACAAGATTTACTTGATGTGCACCAGACTAAAATTGAATCAAGTAGGAACTATGTGATTCAATTCAAGTAGAAACACGAGTCACTATTCCGCATACTCGACTTGTAATATTTCTGGCACCATCAGAGCATGTTAATAAGGGTGTATATTCCCAAGAAGGAGAAATTGCATCTATAGATTTCTCTAACAAATAATCTCATGTGTGCCGTCTGTAAAGAAAAATATGTAGCCATAAATGAAAGCAATAGAGCTTGGTTCTTATAATAAGTTTCTCTCAAATGTCAAAATACGATGTGCTCTCAACAGATGATGAATCAAATGCAAAAAAAGCCCAACAATCAACAAGTAATTTGCTGAGTTTTTGAAGTCAAACGACAATAATAATTCGAACAAACAATGATACTTTTGTCTCATTGTATCCACCAAAATAACTGAGACCCCGTTCATTGCGTGTACACTTCACTTGACGCGCTGTTAAGTTGAACGAGGAACCAAGACCAACCATCCCAATAACAAACTTGAAAATCTTGATATTCTTGATATCAATTTGATGACATACAATCACATTGTTAAATTTGATCGGCTCAGAGAATCTCAACGCTCAATCAATATAAATATCTTCAGTTTCAATATCAAATAGAAATGTGCTTATAATTGTATCGACGATGTTTACGTTTATATCAAATACAGCTTTTCACCTCATTCAACGAAAAGAAAATGCATAGTATTCACTAAAGCAATATCATCAAAGAAAATTTGCTTAGCGTCTATGAACAAAGAACGATACTCACTTCACTTTGCCAAATGTTGGCTTTCGAGATCTTGTGAGTACAATTTTGCTTTTATCCGATATTTTCTTCACGACCTTATACTTGGCAAAAGCAACACAAAACTGATGTAACGACACCAGATGACGATTGCCGCTTCAAGATCTTCAACCCGTATTCAAATTCATGAGCTGAATTGAATGGAGTTTTGCGCTTCTTCGACAATATTTCATCGACAGCAATTCTTTAACAAGGGAAACTCTTCAATAGCAAAGAATGAACGTCAAGAAATCTTCAACAACAAACAATAGTAAACGCTACTCGGATTTTTCATCTTATCCATGGCGGAAAAGAGAGAAGAATAACAACTCTTCAACTACAATCGTTCTTTTTACCGCCAAAGAATTGCTGTTATTTCATCTGCAATGGACAGAGCAACCGTCACTCTTTTCCACCAGTTGCTATTGTTTGTTCAATTGCAACAAACAAGAGCAACTGCCCACTCAGACTTTCATTTTTATTATGTATGGCATCTCACACATACTAGATTATATTATCGCAAGTCTGCCAGGACGCCAGCCCATGGCACACTCACACTTTCATTCAGCAAACCATTGGCTCCACAGTTTACAAGCGCGTGTGTGCTTCTTGAGTTTCTCCTTGCTCCAAGTGCTCCTTTGATGAAGACAATGTAGTCTGAAGTCAAGTCGATTGAGTACTGTAATGTTCCCGAATGATCAGAGTAGCGACGTTTGCTCTGTTTAAGACGGTGTTGAGCTTAGTGTTCTACTCGGCCATGGAACTGCTCAACGTTGCACGAGAAGTTCACGTACAAGTACGATCTGGGTTGGATTGATGGAATGCTAGAATCTCGTCTTGAGTGTCATTTGCAGCAAATCCCCTCCTTAGGCTATGAACAAGGCGAGATTCAGTGGTTCCCGCGCAATTTCATTTCCTTCGATATGTAACATAATGCACGAAGGGCGACCACCGAATCAAACGACGACACCCCCTCATGTACAAAGAAAAAGCTAAAACAGTCAAAAAAACAAACAAACCTACCACCAAAAAAACACAGAGTTGATCTTTTTCTGGATGAACCTATGTCTACAATGGGACCTTCTGATCTCTCCTACATAGAGATAGGGTGTTAACTCCAACAAACATCACCAATCAAAATCTTCTGTTTTGAATTGGTACATTCTAAAGCCTGATGTAATGATATCCAAATGCACTGTTTCAAATGATGCAACATGTAATACATTAATTATAATGATAATAATAATCTATTATTACATATATCACTAACATGATTAAAAAAATTATATCCCCTTACAAAATCTTTTATATTTGTTGCATGAAATGTACAGGAATGCTGTATAAATTACATTTTTCCTATGATATATATTGTCAAAAATTAGTATAAGATATCTGGTTTCATGGTGTAGTGGTTATCACGTCTGCTTTACACGCAGAAGGCCGCGAGTTCGAGCCTCGCTGAAACCTTTGACAGTTAATACTCCGGTTTTGCTGGATCCGCAACCAGCCGGATTGCATCATTTGTCGGATCTGATAGATTCAGACTTTTGCTTTCCAATCTGACTCGAAATTCAAGCCAATCCTGTCCCTACTGCTTACACCAGTGGATCCTCTGCTTCACAGAAATCGGTCATGATTGAATGAGAAGATTGATTCGAGAGATTGTGAGAATACTCCGATAGTAGAATGTCGTAAAAACAAAACTTTCTCATTGCCCACGATCTGTAATATTTCTCGCTGAAACCTTAAAGGCCCTCTCTGGCTCCGGTTTGCTGGATGGATAGTGTGCATGATTGTTGCATCAGTTGTCGGATCTGCCAGATTCGGACTTTTGCTTTGCACTCTGGCTAGAAATTCAAACCATTCCAGCCAATACTGTACCGAATGCTTACACCATTGGGTTGCTCTGCTTCACAAGGATCGGGAATGATTGATTCGAAAGATAGATTCAAGAGATTGTGAGAATGCTCGGATAGTAGAATGTTGTAAAAACTATACTTTCTCATAGCCCATGATCTGGAAAATTTCTCGCTGAAACCTTATAGGCCCTCTGTGGTTTTGTTGGACGGATAATGTTACTGATTGTTGCATCACTTGTCGGATCTGCAAGATTCGGACTTTCGCTTTGCACTCTGGCTAGAAATTCAAGCCCTTCCAGCCAATCCTGTCCCCACTGCGTACATCAGAGTTTGCTCTGCTTCACAAGAATCGGTCATGATTGATTAAGAATAGTGTACATTCATCCAGTTTGAAGATAGATTCGAGAGATTGTGAGAATCCTCAGAAAGTAGAATGTTGTGAAATAAAAACTTTCTCATAGTCCAGGAACTGTAATATTTCTCCCTCACCAATATTGCTTTCTTGTACCCCAATCAGACAAGCGGCCATAGAACTTGGAGCTTTCGTTTGGGACAAGAGTCCTCCTGACTGGAGCAAGAACTTTTTCTTGTGGCGATGTTCTAGTCAGGACCCTCGTGAATACCCTGAAAGATTTCCACTTATTTTCGACCTCTGCGTATGTCACTCGGCTGGACCAGTAATTGGGCCTGTGGCCGTGGCTTCATTCGGCGCCATAAAAGAAACAATCAACTCTCTTGTTTTCCTCGACTTGAGGAATGCATTAACAAGATAAAGACTTACCTACTGCGCTACTCTGTGACCAATCTAATACGGACATTGTACCTCTGCCAACAGCGAAGCGCTTGAAGCACAAGGACGCTTGAACCTGTAATTTTGAGGTCTTTAAGGGTTTTAAGACGAGCTTGAAGTATTCTACGGGTTTTATAACGAGGCAGAAATTTCTCAGTGTTTGGGGTGCAGGGAACTATAACGTGGGCATTTTGTAAGAACAATAGATGCTGTGAGCTGGAGCCTACATAGCTGAAGTACCAACAGATTCTAACGAGAATGAGGATGGCTGAATCGAGATGATGCATGTCATGATCAATTGTGATACTTACTGCTTGGGGTGTGGTCTTACCGTGGGAAGGATGTGATCAGAGATGACAAGTATGGCATTGAAAGGAGGCATTGTTGTTTTTGTCGTAATGTTATAACGTTATCTTTCGCTTTATCAGTGTTGGCACAGAACATTATCTGCGCCTTGATTCCTTCCTTTACGACGTTGGGTCCCACGCATAATTGATTGAGTACGAGTAAGGTCGCCTCAGTGGATTGAACAACGATAATCAGGACAGTCTCGGTTCCACTCCTGCGTAGAAGATGTCGGGAAGAGAGTTAGACAGAAGATTGCTCAGAAAGGAGGTGGTAAATCTTTACGAGAGTTGTCGAAGAGCCGAGACTTGATGATGTGGCCACTGAATTGCTGCTCTTCGACAATTCCAAGGTTGTGCTACTTAGTGTCCTGTTACTGAAATGTGCCGGACAACATTCTCATCTCAAACCACCGGGATTATTACAATTCACACCAGTTATTTTTTCAGGAATGATTTTTACTCCACACTGCGGCATGCATTTTAAGGAACGTCGCAATCCAGTGGGATAAGACTTCCTCCAAAACATGCGTTCGAGACAAATACGACCGAACAGAAGGATTTAGGTGAGCCTCCGTTCGTTCCATTGCAGAGAGCAGAAAAAGAATGAGCTCCAAATTCCGACCAAATTCCAACAATCATATTGTGTGAAGTGAAGGCAAGCGTCTGATGAAAATCTTCCAGGTTCCCTGTTTCTTTGATAAAATACAGATGCACTCCGCCCTATCTAAAAACGAATTATCTTCAACTTGAACTGAATGTACACTACTCCTACGAAAATTAGTATGACTGACTCAGCTGAAGGGGGATCCCATGTCAATTCTAAAGTACAGGAAAAGGTAAACTTCGCGCTTGACTTCAGGGCGGCCTTGCTTTGCTTTCAGCACTGTTTCTCCTCGGTTGGATACGCAGTGCAAAGGCACTCATATAAAAGTCTATCTAAATCGAAGTGGATAATCGGTTGGATCATTTTTTATCTGCTTCTGGTGCATCTTCAGGCTCAATGGGGGAGATCGAGCCAAAAGTGTCCTTCACACCGGTGAAAAGGTTACCGAAGCTCTCCTTCACCTTGTCCACAACTGACTTCAATTCTCCTTTGGGTGGGATCTGGACGAAAACGACGAGCGGTGGTGATCAGTGTCGAGAGCGACCGGTAGTTCAACTAGACGCAGAAAAGATTTCTTGAGAACCGTTGGAACTCATGTTAAGAGGAGATTTGCATCAACCAACCTGAATGACGTCTTGACCGTAAATTGCTGAATTTGGGTTCTTCTTGTCCTGAGAGATCACAAGGTTGACTGCACTTAGCGTGGCACAAAAACGGACTACAAAACTCAGTACCGCCTTCAGAGGGGATCGTGGATCAGACGACCTTTCGGAGGGTTTTCATGAGAAAGAACTAATCCAGGCGGAAACTAAATGTCGAGTTCGTTGTAGAAGATCATACAATCCCATCTCAAGTCAACAATGGATAGTTCAGTGCCGTGCAAGGACTACTAGTGAAGTCGATCTAAAAGAGAACAAGAGAAATCTGCACACAGATCACACGCATGAGAGACAATATTTCTACAAAGTCCTCTACACCATGTGAGTCAAACTTACCACAATTTTGTAACCGTATTCGAAACCTGACGCAGATTTCAGCACTGGGTAAGTCTTGAAAGCTGTCTGCCTGACAGCCCTTTCGTCCTGCGCGAGGCCATACACAAAAACGAATGTGAGTAAACGAAATGTAAGGAGGAGGGAAAGGTGGTAGCATGTAGATAATTGAGAAAGCCTCATTGTAGATTTTAGCATCTAATAACCCACTGATCATGTACTACTCCCACGGATTATGCGTCAGTGAGAAGAAAGGCTTATCACAGGTGTTCAAAGTCCTTCCAGAAACGCAAGCAGAATAGCATAGACTGTGATTTCTCCGACGATGGAAGTCTTCAGACACGGATCAGAATCAAACAGGTTGAACCTGTACCTTGTAGATAACCTCAGCGATGTTTCGGGTCAAAGTATCTCCGTAGAGCTTCTTTCCCCAATCGTTACCCATGGCTGCAAGCATGACCTTCGCCGTTGAGCCTCCAGAAACAACACTCAATGGGTACCACCTTGGGACCTGCATCCACATCTTTCTGGCTTAGAAAACAGCATCACAATGTTCCAGCGCACTGCCATCATGCTGATTGTGTACAACATATATTCAGTGTAATATAGCTGTATCCAAATTTCAAAGCAGAGCACTGGTTTGAATATATGTGGCAGGTGTGAAGCAATGTAACTGAAATATACCAAGTGCTTCAGGTATTCTCGGATCAAAACCATCCGAGAGAAAGAGCGAGAACTCTCAGAGAGGGAAGCCCAACGGAGTGACATTCATTATTCAGATTCCTCTATACATCCTTATAATATCTATGTCTTGGGGCACGCAAAGAATTCTTGGTTTCTTCTAGTATTAAACTCACATTTAAACATCCGCACGCAATTAACTCTTCAGCCCTGCAAAATGTCACAGCTCTGAATCTACTTCCAACCTTATTCCTATCCACATAGAGCACGCAACTCCCACATACTCTGTGACACTCCCGACAATGGCCGACCCAAAAGCTGAGGAAAATTACTCTTCTCAGAAAGAGTCTCAAACTTGTCCCGAAAATTAATGGTGCTGGCTACTACATCTCTCGACCACCCGTGAGGTTACTCACACCGTTGAAATTTCTTCCGGCAAACTCTACGAGGGCATTTCTCGGCGCAGGAACGAAAAGGAATATTTCTATAAAACCCCGGTCTATGAGCTGTGCCTGTGGTAAGAAGGAAATTCAAGACGACGTCGGGAGAGCTGCGAAAACCTCTGAAGATCACGGTCGGAAATCTCATGCTGTTTATGTACGAGGCGACGGCTCAGAAGGGCTGGGGAAGATGCAGGAACCGGGAAGGAGAAGTCGGACTTGAAAATGTCAACGCATCGATGAACTCGTAGAAATTCAGAAACGCCGCGCCAGGGCTTCAGAGAAATGTCAGCGGGGAAGAAGAGGTTGTGGAGAGCGAAGGGATGGAAGCACTCACTTTCTGAGTCCTGATGAAGAGAACGAACTTGGGATTGTCGTCGCCGTCCAAATTCGGCAGGTTGGGACCCGAGGGCCTCCTGCCGCTGCCGGGCAACATGCTGGTCTTGCGCCCCTTGGCCTCGACGCTCACCACGGCCCTCCGCTCGCCGCCGGCGCTGCTCCATTTGTTGCAGCTCACCAGAGCGGGACTGGGCGCCGCGCCGGCGAAGAATTGCTGCTTCGAGCAGCTCGTGCTCGTGCTCACGCCTGCTCCTCTCAAGCTCGCCATCGCCTCCATCGCTGCACGCAAATCCTCACAAACCCAGAATCTCTCGAGGCCCACTGCTGCTGCTGCTGCGCAGCTCGGCTGAACAAGATGATAGATCAGGACCTGCGGCAGCGGCAGTAGAAGAGGAAGATCGATCGATCGATCGATCGCTCATCTACACAGACAGAACAGAATCGAGGCGAGCTGCGACGAGCAGCAGACCGACGTGGAGATGCGCAGGGGACTGAGAAAGTTGTGGATGTAGGGGGATGAGATGGAGCGCTGCGGGCCCCACCGCTCACTCATCCGCTCCTCGGCCGCTCTCCTCTATCCGAACCGGATTCTGTCGTGGACCCGTCCCGCCGCCCGCACGCTTGCTTACTGCGGCCCCTGCGCAATACTGTGTCGCGCTTTACGTCGTCATCTCTACTGTGGTCTACGGGACTCGACTCTCTCCTCCTCCATACTGTGTCCCGCTTTACGTCGTCACCTCTACTGTGGTCTACGGGACCGCTTAGCCCGATTCGGCGCTGGCTGATATAAAAAATTTAGGACTTTTAATATTTTTTCCCTTTTTGGGCTTAAATGGAAAATTGCGCTGAATCTATGATTTTATTCTGAGTAGGCTCCTCCGCCGCTTATCCCCATTCTGCGCTGGCTGAAAAAAAATACGGCCTTTTTTTAATACAAATTCTACTATTTTTCTACATTTTTGGAATTTATGGAAATTTGCGCTGAATCTATGAACTTCTTCTGAGTAGGCTCTCATTTTTTTCTCATAGATGTAAAATCTTATTTACAATCTTTTAAACAATTCACAATATAACTATACAATCATCTTCCACTGGAACGGGATAATACTGCTTTATGTAATTTGTTTGGCCTATTAGAAAGAGCATTAAGATTGTGCAAAGTGACCAAAGGCACTATCTCTGATTGCTATACGAGACACTATCATTTTTTTCAAAAAAGAAACTGTACCACAACTGATGTATTATCGCTAATACTGCGTCCAGTTTTCGTAACTTGTGTTTGCACCGTGTGAAATGCAATCATGGAACCCAGCTGTCCATGGAAGGGTGGAAACCACGCGAAAACTCCATATTCATCCAACTTCCATTATTCATTTGCACTTCGAAGAAGCCAACAATTTCTGAAGTGCATTCAGCAACTATCGACATTAGTTTTTGCATGGGACATGGTGGCACTTATTGTCATGACGACGATGACATTCATAAGTTTAATATGCGTAAAGCTTGACTTGGCACAAAACATCACTGTGATGTATTATATTGTAAAATATCACACACCTTTTAAATATAAAACTTACAAAAATAAATATCAAATCAATTCAGTCATGATGCTTTATACATCATGCTGTTATTTCAAACTTTACTATATAAATCATAAACTTCCCATGAATCTTCAATCCACTCGACTCGAATCCCAGTCCTTGAAACTGTAAGTAAGAGAATGTCAATCAAGTCATTTAAATCCTCACTTTCATTATCTCTGCCTAATGTTCTCATCTCATATCTCATCAACTAATCACAATCCCGACCATGAGCTGAAAAATTCCAACCCTTTCAAATCTTTAAATCCACGTGATTCGCCATGAAGAGTGAAACCAGATTATATACGACCGCATGAAAGGTCGACTGTAATCTTTCCTAAACGTCATCAATAGTGATCACAAGTGAGTAGATCATTGACCATTATATTACACTTGATCTGCATAAATAGTTCCAAGCTCCACCATCAAATTCTCCCTGAAGAATGCGGTACAGCCGTTGCGAACTGGTGTACTCTGCGTACTCCTTCGTCCTCGCTCTATGTACTATACTGCCTGTCGTATATGGAAAGATACGGAGTAGTCTGGGCTCCGTCGTAGACTGTTACCGCGCTAGACGAGAGAAATTACCCTCAGTAGATGAGAGAAATTACTCTCAGTAGATGAGAGAAATTACTCTCAGCAGCGCCCCGCATGAAAAGATAGCGAATCCCAACTGTATTATTGTATTATTATTTCCTTTTTATCCGAACCATATACTGTACTTCTGGAGGTTCCGCCCACTTACAACTGCAGTTCGTGGCTCTCGACGACTTGAGCTTGAGGCCCACACAGGTTCGGCAAATGCTACGGCGTTCCGAAGCGACCGGCCCTGCGAAGATAGAGAAGTTCGAACCTCCCGCCCTGTCTGTCGCGCTAACGTTACTGTCGAACCCCGAGAATGATCGGCACTCAGGCCCAATTTCTTCCACGTGATGGAGATCCCACCTTCAGCTTCTGTTTACTATAACGTGATTGCTCGTTGAGTTCACATGAGATCATAGTCAGTCAGTCAGTCAGTCAATCAGTCAAACGTAGAAACGACGGCGCATGGGTAACATACAAACCATGGTGAAACTCTCATTCTTGCCAAAGGTCACAACGGAGTCCAGAGCAATAGGTACATTAGTTGATCCGCTCTTTCTAGCTCTCTTTTTTCCCAAATTTTTATTTTTTTTGACAAATATTTTAATGTTTCCTTCAGCTTTGCGATGAACTGCTTCGCATTTGGATAATTCCAAGTCATCATCGTTGTTAAAAGTTCAGTTTTTTCATATGCTTCCTACTTAGTACATAGAGGCCATATATCGTAGCTCTTTGGTAAAAATCTCACTTAGTGCACAGCAACACTGGTGTACTATTCAATCTTGATAGGCTTCCCACGAGGAGTATTGTAGACACAACACACTTCTTTCATTGTTTAACAATAAATGTTATGAAGGGGAAGAAGAAAGCGCTTAAACAGATCTTTTCCCATTATGATAATATTTACATCCGATGATAATGCAATTCATTTTAGCTTATTTTGAAAAAAAAACATTTTACTAGGTAAGGTATTGATTCAACTCTATCCTATAATCAAAAATATAAGATCCAACACATATCAATAAGACAGTTGGACAGTTGCGTAATAGGCTTCATATCATAACATGGAGGTGTCAAATGTAACCACACCTAGGTTCAAGCCTTCTTTTATTCCCCATAATTCAGAACTTACACAACTAAAACTCACCGCAGCCTTAACACGTAAGACGTGTGTAGTTCAAATAACGGAGAGTTATACATTCTCATGTGAACAGAATAATGTAAAGCTGATGCCTCTTTTTATATTATAAACATGTTATATGTAAAATGCATTACATCTGTTTGGCATAAATTTATATAAGATGAGATACAGTAAAGGCAAAGGGTAAAAGAAATCAACCTTTGGCCGTTTCACAAAAGGATTGTTAAAGGATTTTTATTCGTCTTCGTCAAAGTAATACAAGTGAAATCGATGCACCCGATTAAATTTTCAGAACAATCTCTTGATTGCACCACTACCTTATGTGTGATTTGTTGACCATGAAGAGTACATGTTATGATACTACTAGTGATGCTGTACTGCATTTGCTGTTTCGTTAGATGGTGGAGAACTCACACAATGTGAGCCTCGGAATCCTTTGCAGTCTACTCGGGTTAGGGGAGATCTATAATTGGCTTGGAGTATTAGAGTAACCATTAGAGACGTTGTGGTTCTATATTCTACAAGTGACATGGTTCTGGAGTGAATGATTACACGTCTTCTTGTATGAAACTTGGTCAAGTCAAAGTCTCCAAACTTGAGTTATGCATGATATCGAGGCATTTTTTTTCTAGTCTACGATTTAAAAGATTTATTTAACGTTTTGACCTGTTCTATAATTAAAACCTACCATACCAGTAAAGCAAAACTATCAAGATAATATTACCATACTATGCAACATGGGTATACTTGTTTAGAGACCTCATTGATGTTGAGAGGCAATGAGCCTAAGCAGACCGCTGCAGAAGACATTAATAAGAAGCCGTGTACTTGCCAACAATTTCTCCACAAGAAAGTTTGATTAGTCAACTATCATGTACTCTTCCAATAGAAGTACGAGTTAGTTATATGAGGAAGTGTATGCCTCACAGATAAATTTGACGCGTAAATCTCTAAAGGCCCAACTATTCTAGAACTCCACATACAATAGTTAGCTCAATATTCAAATGATGCTGCTCTGGTGTGGGTTTTGTTCTATATCTTGTAAACGTGGATATTATATATTATAACCTTTTAGATAGAAAACAATTTCTAATAATCGAGCTTTAGAATATCTTTTGTCTCTGGAGTGTCACTTATGTGGTTGATTACAGCAGGGAAGCCGCGTATTAATTAAGCATGGATGATGAAGAATTCGTGGTCAAATAATGTGCATTATTAAATTGGTGACAACTTATTCTTCGTGCGTAGGAATGAGGTACCCACTCGGAGAAAGACGCGCAGGTGGAGACGTGAACCTTCCATAGTTTGTAGCAGTTACGTGTGTATTGGACCACTTTTCGGGTTTAGTTTCTTCGTGGCGTGGAGGTGTCAACATTCCACGACCAGACCTTCCGAGTGGAGTGAGCTGTCAGCCAGACATCAAATATTGTGGGTCACGGTGCGGAGCGAAGGCCCTTGGTCGTGAACGACGCCAGCAGGCATGAACCACATGAAAATCTTGAAGCGATTGTGTGTTATTGCCGAATATGAAAACCCTTTTACTATTTAATAAGTAGCAGATTTCCTGTGGTTGAGCTAAACTTTCTCGTCTCCCCTTAAACGGCGTGAGAGCTTGAGCCTATATCAAATAAATTTTTAGGAATCAATGGCGTCAGAAATCAAGGTCACCTCCACAACACATCCTATGTGATGCCGACAATCAGACTGAACGTGTTCGCTTTGCTGGCCCCAGCACATCATCGAATCAGTTCAGTTATTTTGCTATTCCGACAGCAAAGAGTTCAAGTGTTCTACTAGCGCAGTAGTTGCAGATAATGTGAGGAACTGCACATACTTGGGTAGCTACGTTTCACTGAGATTACAATTCGTGGGTACTAATTTTCCAGAATGAATTGTTGACTAAAAAAATCCATAGGAGGTCGAAAATGGGACTCCTCTTGCATCTGAGGCAAAACATGTCTCATTTGCTGGGAAGTTGTCATCATTTGACTCATGGTGACGCAACTTCGAAGAGGTGAGATTGGCATCTAGCGCATAGACCACTTTCATAAAACTTACGCTTCGTCTGGGCCAACCCATGTAGTCAGACCAGGGACCGGACCACCGTGCCATATTCTGGTGGTAGGATCAAGTATTCTCACTGAACCTTTCTTGATCGGTCTCCTGCCGCAGTATCAACAAGGAACGTCAGGCTGTAGGTATCTCCACGCTGCGAGTGAGCCAATTGAACAATCCTTGCATAAATCCTTAGCTCTCCACACTGTCAGATGAAATTCCATGCAAAAGCACCTCGGGTCCACGAACGTGAGGAAAAAGGCATTAACCTTAGGAGCCATGTCACCTAGACCTTCGCCAAGAACTCAACTCATGAACTGTCAATTGTAGAGCACCTCCGCTACAAGATTTCCCGTCTTCAAACTCAAGGACATGGAACCGTTCGGAAGTCATATCAATAAAGAATCTTAAACTCAGAAAGGGGATTGTATTATGCCCTGTTGAACCACCAAACAAAGAGAATAGAGGGTTCAACATGAGAGACAGTACCTATAGAAACCTGCAGGGCAAATCGTACTACCACTTCACCCCGTGTCAGAGAAAGCAGGGATGATCTTGTGCGACGGCGTGTCATAATAGACAAGTGAATGATGATCAACAAGACAACAGCTCAAGCATCTTTCTTGTGAATATGATGGGACCAGGACACATGGCAACGAAATTCATGAGGTGAAGCAGATGAGTTCATTTCAAAGTAGCTGTCAACACCTGCAACTAAAATTGTACAGAAAGGTCATTTGTGTTGCAAGATGACCTTAAGCTCAGCACTTCTTGTGATCTTCTGTTCAATCTTGTCATCGCTGAGAACTATCAACCTACACTTTCGGTACTCCTGGATGTATCACGAATAGCGATATCGATTCAAAAATCCTAAGGCACTCTTACCATAAAGGTAAAAGATTTCATTCAAAATCAAACAATTTAAACCAAATCACACAGCGTTTTGATGGAAATCCCCTAGAAGCTATAACAAGACTTTCCTCAAGCACGAAGGTTAAAAATGGCAATATGCAAACACTCTCGATGTGTTCTTCACACCAGGTAATGATGTTCTACTGCAGTTTCCGCGCGCTCCATCTAGAGAGCTGCTACAAGTTGCAACTCTAAGACGTCAGTCGAGTTCCCTGTCTTGGCAAATGCAAGCATAGTAACCAAGCTTTACCTTATTGGTTTCAGAGGTCCATTGGATACGGGTCGGGACTGAGTCTCCGGGACCTTGTTGCTAGGAGGACTGGTCGAAAAGTGTTCTTGCTCATCATCATCCGTGCCAAAGTAGCGATCACCGAACTCACCCATTCCAGGCACCACTCTGAACTCCTCATTCAGAGCCGTGTCGATCTCCGACGTCACTATTTTTAACAGAGGGAATCGTTTACAGACAGCATGTATTCCTTCTGGTGCTGATATCAGATTGAGGAAGATAATATGTGATTCTGGAACACCCTTCTGCATCAGCAACTCGATAGCCTGAACGGCAGAGTTTCCTGCAAACAAAGACATACCTTCAGTGGCTGACTAGAGATCTGAAACAAGCACAAACACTGGGAGGACAAAGATATTTGATGTTGCTTACATAGAAAGAAACTATTACAAGTATAATCAACATGCCATGAAGATGATAGAGCCGACAAATTGGTGATGTTATTTGCAACTGAAGTTGATATCTCGTTATAAATGCAAAAGCCCAAATTTGGCATAAGTTATATGCAGATCAGGGAGAACAACCGCCCGATGTGATAAGGAGTAAAAGAAGAATCTCAGGATGGGGACCAACTCGGCGCTTTTTGCCTAACCTTCAAGAAATTTCATGCCCGGAATCGTTGATACACTCCAAGTGCAGTCCAGAGAAAGGCGTGCGACGTAGAAATCAAACTGAAAAAACTCTCGAGGAGATTCCAGACTTGATGACATATATTTACGTGGAAAAGCTAGGTGGAATTTCGGTTCCGGGCAGGAAAAACGGGCTTTGTACCACAACAAACGTTTTTTATGGGCTTCTTACGTTGTTGTGAAGAAAGATAGAGCCCCTACTTACTACGCATTGTGTCGTAGCCTTATGCTCATGGCTGCCCGAGATTCATCTTAGCCTATTAGCTTCAGACTCAGGCGTGTAGCGCAAATAGAGTGACGGGGAACGTGAACTTCCCCGTATTGATTGACTTCTTGTTGCTACTTGCTACACGTCTTTTATAATGAGCAAGTATAATAAAAAAAGGGCTGCCAATTAGATGATCCTCCAGGACTTCACCTAATTCATTGAAACCCAAATCTAAAAATTTTAGATAAAGAGTGTTGAGGAGAGACATGGACATGAACCACGAATTAGTGCAGGGCACAAGAATGATGTAGTACAAATGAACCCTACGCACAAAAGGAAGGCAGAACCCCGTAACAGCATGTTATAACACCCCGTCCAAGATGAAGCAGATGGGCGAGAAAAAATATCTACAGCGAAGGGGAAATTATGACGTATGTGACACTAACCTCTGGCTTGTACTTCAGTTCGAACAAGAAATGTCTTTCCTAGAAAAACCTACTGTCCATACTCACAGCAGGACCCATAACCGCAGCGAGTCTGAAACAACATATGAGAGAGAGAGAGAGAACCTGTGGCGAGAACGGGATCGAGCAACAAAACGTGACGATCGGCAATATCCCTCGGCAATTTCTCGTAGATAAGCTGCTTGCCATTGTCACCTTCACGATGAATCAGAATCTTGCCAATTTTGATGCCTTTACAGCAAGCACGCAAGGCATTCTCCATACTCTCTCCACTACGAATTATAGACACCCCACAAAGTTGCTTGCAGAAGTCCACGCCGATATAAGTGGAGTTCGTGGGCGTTATGACTTGCTTCTCGGTAAAAGGAAGATGACCCAGCCCATGCTCGACGACCAAGCGAATGAGTCGATCGGCATAGAACACGAAGTCATGCTTCGTAGTTTCCCTGTCACGAATAAGAGTGTGCATTCCTCGAATCTGGAAAGTCGACTGAATAACGTACACATTGGGGTATATTTTGCGCAGATCATGTTGTCCGAGCTTCGTTCGTATATGCTGAACAATAAGATCGATGGCCACATGATTATCACCTCCTCTGGGAATTATGACATCCGCGTATTTTTTTGAAGGCAGTACGAAGTCATCGAACGACGGCTTGACGAATTTCGCGTACTGCTCAAGGACACCCTGTACATCTCTACCTCTCTCCAGAGTATCTCTACGTATCCGCCTGGCAAGTCTCACGTCCGCATCTGTGTCCACGAAGATCTTCATGTTCATCAGCTCACGAACTCGATGGTCGTGGAACACCAAAATTCCTTCCATGATTATAACATCTACCGCATTGACCTTGCGAAATGAGTCCGTGCATCGTTGATGCCTTTTGAAGTCGTACACGGGAATTTGAACTGGCTGGCACTGTTTCAACTGTAAAAGACACTCCAGCAGCTGCTCTGTGTCGAAGGCATCGGGATGATCAAAATTGTATTCTCCTACATTCAGTAATTCTTCCGGTTTCAACCCACGGTAGAAGGAATCTTGGTTCACGAGCACCACCCGGTGATCGTGCAGTTGCTGAATTATCATGTCGCACACCGTGGTCTTACCAGAAGCCGTGCCTCCCGCGACACCGATTACAAAGGGCGGTTTGTTCGCACTCCTGAGTTTCGGATTCGAGATGGTGCTGGGCTCCTCGTCCAATCGAAGGCCCCCGATATTGGCCCGCGCCGAGGCCTCCATTTCCTCATCAAACTCTATCGACGTCTTCGACGCCATCTCGTCCCTCTGTAGCACCAATTCCGCTACACGAACGACTTCTTCCTCTCAGCTTCGATCATAATCATCCACAATTCCGTCTCACCTCCCTCGCCTCTCCTCTCCTCTCCTCCTTTCCTTCTCTTCCCTTACCTTCCCTCTGTTCTGTCCTGCTCTGCTCTGCTCTTTTCAACCCGACTCACCTCTCGCCATCCTTCACCTCGATGACTGTTGCTCCACCGCCAGCGTCATCACGGTCGTCATCGACATCATCAGCACCGTCACTCACATCATTTCGATCCTCCTCCTCCCTTGCCTGCTGCCGCTTCCCTCACTTCCTTCGTCTTCGGGTAGTGAAAGAACGCAAGCTCGAGCTCTGCACTCTGAACTCTGAACTCTGGACTCGCTCGCTCACTCGATCACATTCAAGAACACCGACGACAGCGACAGCGGCTTGCGCTGCTCCTTACTTCTCGTGTCGAACAAGCTGCTCTGTAAGTCTACGGTGCCATAAGTAGTGCTGTACGCGCGGCTGGTGCTACAGACAGAGCTGGAACGCAGCTGAGAGTGCGCCCGCCCGGGTGGCTATGGCGGACGGGGCCCCTTCCCTCCCCCTTCCCTACTCGTGGGCTCCACATGCCTAATCTATCTGTCTCATTTCCTACTTAACCCCCAGACTGGAATCTTCGCATCCACGTGATTCATTCCCTTCATTCATTCCGTCCCCTCCCCCCTCTCTCTTTCTCTTCCTCCTCCTCCTCGTGCCCCATCCCCGTGGGGGTTTCTGCTCCCCTACCGTCCCGTCGCCTCCCCCTTTCTTGCCTCCTTCCATTTCTGCTATTCCCACATTCTTCTCGTCCTCGAGTGAATCCCTCGGCCCCTCCCCTCCCTCTCGCCCTCGTGCTGCGCGGCCCCATCATCCGACGCTGGCGCAGCTCCGTTCTTCCATCTCATGCTGAATCTGCAAAGCCGCAAAGCGCTGCGCCATCGCTCGCATCCACGACCCCAACGATGAATAGAGAACAGATTTATTATTCAATTATTATATCAAACTATCAAATAATCAATCAATCAGTCGACCCGGCCTTTGATTCCTTGTCATTGCAATTGTGCGTCGATATTCTTATTTTTCTTTGCGTTATGTTCTTGGATTTGACTCGTGACTCTTTTGTTTTCACGTTTCGCCGTTTGAGATTTAATCAGGCTATTTCCGCTCGTCTCTTTCCTCGCTTCCTTAATCATTGATCGTATTCTGGTTCAAGTGGTTGCGATCAAATTCCCGATTATTATTCTTGTACAGTAATTCATTGTGACGACGTACTATTACTAGAGATACTGTAATAATATTAAAGGATAATAATTATTAATAATATAATAATGTTGTGAGGACGGAGTGTACTTTTTAGTTTCCTTCCGTTGTTGGTACATGCGTCCAAATTCGATGTGACAGCGACTGGCTGAAGTTGTCGAGGGAGAGGGGGAGGATCGGTTTCCCACGATTTAGAACCATATCGGGAAAGAATTTGAATGTAGACGATGATGACGCTCGGAATCTCCAGGTCGGATCCGGGAGGAACTAGGCCTTCGACTTTCAAGATTTTTATATGCAAACATTATTGTTACCCGAATTTTGGAGGACACAAATGGAGATGACAATACGATCGAGTACCTATGTTTCTTCTTGACTACTTTCGTTTGACCATCACCTAATGTCGATGTACGTGGTTTAGATAATAAGAGGGAGAATTCGTTTTATGGTGTCTTAAAGGTTAAAGCTCTTACCATCGTTTAGTACTTCCATTGCATGCTCTACAGTCAATTCTAAACATTAGAAGAACAAAAAAGTAAAAGTAGAAACTTGAGATCAAGCTTTATACAAGATAAGCTTTACGAATATCACGCATCCGATGAAAAATATTGTTCTTCATATGATTCATTCAAAAAAAATCAATGTAATTATCAAACAGTGATGTAGTAGATTCTATAGATGATTTAGGTATTGCTTACAATTTAATAACTAAGCATGGGACATATCATATGTCCCATGCTAGATTTCTCACATATGTCAGAAATCTATCTCAAATTCATGTTGGATTCATTATAGGTATAAGCAAGCATGATTATAGTAGTCACTTGTCTAAATTATCTAAATACGGTTAATTTAGTATTCTTAAAAAAATTAAGTCCTCTTCAAAAATGTTAAATTAGGCTAATTTAGTCTCCTAACAATTTTTTTCCCTATAAATAAATTTTTTTATTTTAAAAATTACATTAATTTAGAAAAAAAATCCATCAATTTCACATATGTGTCCCTCCTCTCGTCACTGAAGAGCTCCTCACAATCGGGGGAACGCGAGCTCTGCCTACATTCCGACCCCCTCCCCACCCCAACCCGAACTACCGCTTTGACGAGGGAACCCCTCCCGCTTTAGCTCGTCCCACTCCCGCTCAACCATCGTGCTCTTTTCCTCGCGGCCTCCCTTCCCCGCAGGAAACTTGTACTCTCTATTTTTTTTCTCCCCCTCGCAATGAGTAGGAGATATAAAGTAGAAATGGAGAAGCCTGTGTGGGGCTTCCTCTCTTCTTACCCAAAAAAAAACTAGGTACTTTTTTTTCCAAGGCCCTCTTCTCTTCTTATTTCTCTTCAATTTGTACATTTAAGTAAATCTATTCATGTATTAACATGATGGAGAATCACAAGAGAACTCATAATGAAAGATTACACTAATGCAAAATTACAAAGTGGTAACAAAATCAATGAAAAGACTCAAATCATAAACTTTATTTCACAAAAATCTCGTAGTCACAATTTTTGCAAAAAATAGAATTTGCTACTCCCTCCATCAAGGTTTTTGTAGTATAAATGTCACAAGTGACTTTGGGAAGCTTACAAAAATTCATCCTTATTTGCTTGGATTGTGAAAGAAGCACATGTGAATAGCGCTTCAAAGAGGAGCATGGAGCACTTTTTTCACTAAACTTTCGAAACTTGACTTTTTTAACGTTCTCCCCCTCGCAATGAGTAGCAGATATAAAGTAGAAATGGAGGAGCATGTGTGGGACTTCCTCTCTTCTTACCCAAAAAAAGTAGGTACTTTTTTTTCCAAGGCACTCTTCTCTTCTAATTTCTCTTCAATTTGTACATTTAAGTAAATCTATTCCATTTTCGAAAGTTCATATCATGTCCCATTCGAATTAAACTTTCGAAATCTTACGTTTCTTCCCATGTCCCATTCTCGGTTCGCTTCACGTTCTCTTGGATGAAAGCAATAAAACCTAGGAGGGAAAGAGTAATTGTATTGGACCTTTTAAATTTTGAAGTCTCCAATAATGTGTCAAAACAAGCTTGAAAGGCTTGCAATTTTTGCTTCACCTCTTCTTCATTGTCATCATATAGAGTTGCTTGACATAGTGATTTGATTTCACGTACCATGTTGAACGCCTTCTCACACATGACAGCAATCGAAAGAGACTCCTCCCTTGGTACATTCGATTGAGTTGAAGTCATAAGCTCCATGTCTTCCATGTTGATTTCTAGATGTAATGATTCCTCAAACACTTCATTGTCTTTGAGTAGTTCAAAAAATACCTTCACAAACTATTGCACATCAACTATATGCTTGCAAGTGTATAAACTATCGAAACAATCATAATAATGTGATTTCAATGAAACACTATACCATAGGTAAGGAAAAGTTTCACTCTTGACATGAAAGAGTAGATGCTCTTCATCAACAAACTTCAAGAAATCCATAGTACAAGATTGATAAAACTTTCAAACTTGTTTTACTCCTTTTAATCGACGTCCATAAGCCTAGTCATTTCCTCTCTTTATGTATCTATCTGAGTCAATTACAAGTTCAAACAAAAGGTTTGAACTTAGCATCATGTTCAAAAGATTTATTTAAAAAAAAAATTGAAATACAATAAAATAAACATAGAATAATATACAAAATAAAAAATTTATATAAACGTTGAGTCATTTTGAATTGACTCAATAATGTGGGTTGGTTCACACGAGTGTCATCCATGGCACTACCAACAATTGTCACAATAAGGTATCGGAGAGATCAATTCACTTTTTCTTGTAAGAGGGTGTATTTAATCAACTCCCAATGTCTTTCAACATGGTTAGTTGTATTAATACCCCCATAAGCAAATAATCTCCCAACTCGAGGCCACAACCTTTTCCAAGGACAAGTAATTCCGGCCCATCCGGTAATCACATATTTGGCAAAGGTCGGTATGTGTTGAAACTCAACACAAAATCTTCTTAAATTCTCATCAAAATGGTCTTCACTAGGTCAAAGCATTAGAACATGTAATGTCCTCCACACCTGATCCTTGTACTCATTAGATATCTTTGTTAACAAGTTCTCACTCCATGCCTTCATAACATGAAAGTGACACATGAGAATTTGTCCATCAACTTGTGTTTTGGTACCCTCTTCATAATTCCAACAATGAACATCATTGCTCACAACCCTTTGAATAGCATTTAAAGATGTCTTGTGTTTGTCAATGATGATTGCGGAGTGTCTTACCTCTCCTAAAGATCCAAACACATTGGATAATGCTCTCTCTATAGCAACACCCTCATGTTTATCTTTAACGTCATTGCTACAAAGCATGTAAAAAACAAAATTTCATCTTCATTTGATACAATTGTTGCATAAAGAATCAAACCATATTGATTTGTTTTGAATGTAAAATCCAAGGCTCAAGAATTATCACCTGAAAACCGTAAGGCCAATTTTTGGATGAAATCATCTTGTATAACTATCACAAATGGTCTCTTCTCGGTGTCCTCATTATTAGGTGTTTATGGTTGATTGTACAAAATCTTCCCTTGAGTTTGTAAATTTTCAATTTGTGCCACATCCTAATTGTCTTTCCGAAGTATATCTACATACACCCAATCGAAAATTTAAATACAAATTAAAACATAAACATGAAGAAAATAAAAAAAATGATAGCATAAATATGAAGAATTAAAGTACAATTTAAATACTCAATGCATTTCATAACTTCACATAAAAAATGGAATATGAAAAAAAATAAAATATCGTTGATTCTTAATATATGCAAGTATTTGCACTTCTATTTTGATGATGAAAAATCTATATGTAGCACGTTCCAACTCCGATACACTTTGTGAAAATCTCTCTTGAGCTTCTTGAACCGACGTTGCTTCAATGGGTCTCAGCGAAAGCATGAACTTCAAATTCTCCATAACCCATGCGATAACATAAGGATGCAGCGGTACAAAAAAAATATCAGATGCGAAACCTGGAGTGTGATCACTATGTTTGTTATGAACATAGATTTAGCTTGAAGCTTACTATGAAAAAAAGTGTTTAAGCACTTTGACACATTGGGCTTCTCATTTGGAATTCACAACTACATAATCTAGAGATTCTATTCCTTCTAGAGCTCTTATCATCCAGAAGTTTCACAACAACCGTTCTCCTATGAGTACGGTTTTTGTTTTGTCCACGATGACAACGGTAATAAATCACGATTTTTCCCTACACGGCATGTCAAACGCCTTCTTAACACAATGAACCTTGT